AACCGTTCTTAGTAAGCATCCATGTCGGTCTGTCATTTTCATCATTATTTTGATCTTAGCTTGATGGATTCCCCAGCCACTTTTCACTTTCAATGGGGTATTTCCATCTTCTGCACTATAGGTTGCTGATGGAAGTGTCCCCAGAATAGGTTTACTGGAACCATGGAATGAATTCTTTGTACGTTTTCCTTTAAGTTGTAGTATCCATATGCTTTAACTAATTGCTTGGCATGGCTCAAACCTTTAGTAATGTCTGATCCTTGGTTTCCAAGAAGATGCTTCCCTGGCCCTTGGAAAAATTCATTTTAAGGCACCATTGCCTGTTTCTGAAATTGGTGTTTTTCCTTTGCAGAATGAGAATTATGTTACTCTCCGTGACCTGAAAGGTTCAAAACTTTCAGGAAGCATTTTCAATATCCTTTTCAATCTGAATAAGTTTATGGCCTTTGAAACTCGTGATCCGTTTCTCATTCGTCAGGTACATGTAATTCATCTTTTATTATGTTTGATGATTCCTTTGGTGAAACTGTTTCAGCAGTCTTCTGGTGTACAGGATTTTGTGTTAACATTTGCATGTTGAATGAAAACAGGAGCGTGAGAATCCTACATTGACAGAGTGGGATCGTTTTGCTCATAGAGAATATATCAGGCTCTCAATGGAAGAAGACGTTGAAGATGCATCTAATGGAAGTGCAGAAGTATGGGATGAATCACTTGAGGCTCCTTTCTAAGCTCAACTGGGTAAGCTGTTCTGGGTTATGTTTGGCATCCATATCTTGCTTGTCTATTGAAATGTATAAATTAGTGATTGGTCAATCCAATTTGCAATGGCTGGATGGGTCGAGAAGACAATAGATTTTAAAGATAATTGAAAAGTTTTGAAATACTATGGCATTTACTTTCTTTACTTAACAGTAGACTAGACCTGCCTGGTGCTTTTTTACTTACTGATTTTCATGTCAGTATGTAGATATCCTTTCTATATATATATATTTTTTTTAAAAGCCCAGATTTTCGATATCCACTAAAATTACTTGAGAACTCTTCTTCTAGCCTCTGAGTGCTGTTTGATAGGATGGGCAGATTGTGAAGGCAATATTTTTAAGATTACTCTCTTTAGATAAGTAGATAGAAAGGCAATGGATTGGTATGGAATCCCTTGAATAAGTAGATAGTAATGGATTGGTATGGAATCCCTTGAATAAGTAGATAGTATCAAGGAAAATGATAACATGGCCACCAACATCCTTGGCCCTCCATAGAGCAGCGGAGTGTGTCTGCTCCATGAAAGATTCATGGGCTCTTGGTCTAAACTCCGTAGTCATTGTTTGTGTTTGTTTGTATCTAATCCGTTTTGACTGTTAGAGTGGTTTAGGAAAACTTGAAAGAGGAGAGCAGGTAATACTGACCTAATAGGAAGTTGTTAAAGTTTTTTTGCTAACTATTTCTTGATTATTTATTTTAGGTTTAACTTTCGATGCAGGTGCCTAAAGTTAAGTTCCAGTCAGATTTTCTATACTGGGCACCAGGCAGAGAAATGATGAGAGTTCTAAGAGGCAGTCCTTGATTGGACTGTCCAGACAAAGACAGACAACAGAGACACACACAAATACAGACACCTCTGACCTTTATGGGAGAGAAAGTACGAGCTTGGCCTTCAGGTATATGACTTTACCAGCTGGAAGAATATGTATTTAGGCCTCTGTGTCATGGCTTGGCAATATAGAAAAGAACACAATGAGGAAGCCCTGCTTAATCTTACTGAACTTCATGCAGAAGGGGGAGAAGGGAGGGGATATCTTCCGAGGTGATTAAAGAAATCCGGGTTAAAAGGTGCCTTAAGGACATATACATTTTTTATTTTTCAATTTGTAAGATATCATTTATTTTATCCCCTTTTTTGGGTATCTCTTGACATAGTTGGTTCTTCCAGTGCTTCTGTATGGTCCTGTTTCTGTGCCAGGTGGGCATGCTTCTTTCTTGTTTATTTTTGAAATTTTGTTCTGGATTGATCATTCAGTACTTCATTTCCTAGGTTTATAATTTTAGTTTTTGGCTAGGTATTGTATTGGTTTAGCGAACACTGAGGTGGGAAATAGTGTCTTTGAAAATTGTGAATTTCTATTGTCTATTTATTTTGAATCGAAGTGTTGGGAGTTGCTTATTGCATCCATTTCCTTGGAAGGATATATGATAAAAAGAATGGTTCAGTGCAGTGACTATTTTTCATAGGGTTGTTCTAGTAAGCAACAGTTTTGTTTCTCATAAGCTGTCTTTGATGGTGATGATGGAGATCGTTAGATGCTCGTCACATTCACCGACTCAAAGAGTATTGTTATTATCTGTGTGTGTTTTCGAGATATTCCTTTATAGATAAAATAGCTCGGGATATGTAGTTTTTCAGTTAAGGAGAGATGATGATGATGATGATGCGCTTATTAGTTTTTTTTTTTTTTTTCTAAGTAAGACCGTCTCCCCCCCCCCCCCCAAGGCTTTTATTTGTTTAGTCCTTATCGTCTTCATGGAGTCTGCAATTAGAACTAGACTAATCATATTAATTTAACGCAGTGGGTCAGAGTAATCACAATGACTTGTAATTAATTCACTCTCCAACCATGTCGTATACTAATATATTTATGGTGGTTTATGGTTGTATTAGATATGTGGCGTAAAAAACGTGAGAAATATGAAGTTATATCTATCACCTAACACTGAAGTGAGCAGCGGGTGGTGATGTAGTAGGCAGCATCGACTTAAAATATTTCCGTTCCTGAAACCAAGGATCTTATCACCTGGATTGTGAGTTGGTTTTGCTAAATTGGCTTAGGAGTTTCTCTACTTAAAATTGTTCAAAAAAAAAAAATATATATATATATATATTTTAATATGTATCTTAGCTTGCAAATTCTGAGAAATAAATCAACTTGCTTTTTTTTTTTTTTAAAAGAGAATTTGTATTTTTCACTATGTTTGAGGTTATATTTAAAACAAACAAACTTGGTTTGTGAGATTTACTTGAAAATTTTAATAATTATTTAAAAAGATGCAAATTCTTTTTTATTTTATATAAAATAACAATAAAATAAAAAATTTCCTACGGAGGATTAGAAATAATATTGTTAAAATTACAGAATTCAATACTACATAATGTGGGAGGGGATTTATCTATAAGTTTTTAGACTGACTTCAACTATAAATAATGGTACTATGTTTAAAACAATAATGTGATTTAAATTTTATATTATTTAATTAAATTTGGGACTGCTTAATATAATCTAAAATTTTATATAATTTTTTTAATTAATATAAATTTACATATTACCCATTAAATAATTATAAGATGAAATTTTTATTATTTTATTGGTAAATTTTGCTAACAAAAATAAAGGATTTACCGCGGAAAAAATGCTTTAATTGATGTACATAAAATAAATCTATTGCGTTTATGGAAAAGCTAGCAGTTAAAAGTACTTTCAGGGACCAGGCAAGCTCTTAAATGCTGAACTATTCTACTGCAACTCAACCAGAGAACAAAGGCTAAAAACCCCTAGAGTCCGCTTCTCCGCCTTGTGACTCAGAAGGTCTGAAGTCTATTGCCCCAGTCTCTCTCTCTCTCTCTCTCTCTCTGTGTGTGCTTTTTTTATCTCGGCCGTCGCGGGAAAGATGAAGGTAGTCGCTTTAGTAAGCGGCGGCAAGGATAGCTGCTATGCCATGATGAAATGTATCCAATACGGCCATCAGGTCTACCTCTCTCTCTCTCTCTCTCTCTCTCTATCTATTATCTGTTTGTTTCCCGAGAAAGCACGGTGAAATTTTTGCAGTTTTCTCTTTTTTTTTTTTTATACTTTATTCTCTACTTCCGATTGTTTTAGATCGTTGCATTGGCGAATTTGCTGCCGGCTGATGATTCGGTGGATGAACTAGACAGTTACATGTATCAAACCGTAAGTCAAACTTACTCTCTCTCTCTCTCTTGCTGTTTAATTATAGAAGTGATCATATTAATGGAGTGCAGTCGAAGTAAGATAAAAAGAGTATGATCCCAATTTTCTTAGGTTGGCGTATGGGTGAGGGAGGTTTTCAATTGTATGTGAATTAAGTTTTAGTTGATGTCACTGGAAGGGTTAACGTCTGTCAAGACAAAAATCAGTTTTTTGGGACTCAAGTTCCGAATGCCCAAACCACTCTCCTGTTTTAAGTAGACAACAAATGATCTATCAAGACCTCCCCTATACGTGCCCATAGAAAAAAAAAATCCTTATGATTCTCTCAATTCTCTCAACCATTCTCTTAGGAATTCTAACAAGGACATAAAATACAAAGGAATTGTAGATAAATGAGCATAAGTAAGAGTAGCTTTAAGATCTTGAGAAAACGTACCACCTTTCCAATGATGAAGCCGCTTGGATACCCTAGTAACAACCTCATCATCCCAGAAAGAAGCTGCTCTAGAGTTCCCTCTAAATGGAACCCCTAAACAATTAATGGACCGAGAAAAAGGATTACCACCAGTAAACTACAGAATATCACTCACAACACCATCATCGACATCAATACCCATAAGGCTGCCCGAAGATTGATGCGAAGATTGAGAATTCTCTCCACAATTTTATAAGAGTAAGAGCATTACTGACCTAATTTATCATCATCAGAAAGAAAAAAGATCATTTGGAAAGTAAAGATGAGAAATCTTAAGCCTCTCTTCCTCCATGCATTGTCCTTTAGTAACATCTTCCTTAGACCCCTTAGTCAACATCCAACTAAGAACATTTTCCACTAATGTGAAGAAGATTGAAGAGAGAGGATCCCTCTGTTTCACAACCCTAGAACCTGTAAACCAAGACCGAGGCTTGCAATTACAATCATTGCAAATCAAGAAAAGGCAACCACTAAGCTTCCTCTATCTAGAACCAAAACTTCTCCATCCATCACCATATCCATAAGATCCCCATGACTTTACAATAGCCTTATAGGAATCTATGTTCAACAGCATCACTTTCCTTTTAGCGTTGCTGATGGCCTCCACAACCTTGTTGGCCATAAGAGAAGCATCAATAATTTGCTGGTGCCCCTGCTAAGCACTTTGATTAGGAAAACTTTGTTTCAGTTAACACCTCTGACAATAAGGAAAGAACTTTAGTAATGATCTTATACACACCAATCACCAAGCTCATATAGCGAAATCCGGGATCTTCTTGGATTTGTCTTTTTAAGGCACCAAATGTATGAAAGTAGAGTTCATACTCTCACTAATCACCCTTTGAAGATAAAGTTCGTCAAAACTTTCATCAAATCACACCTCACGCAGTCTCAACAAGCCAGGAAAAGCAGAATAGAGAAGCTATCAAGACCAAGAGCCTTATGGGTACTGGAGTCTAGGCTGCCCTTTAACTTCCTCCCTCTCAACAGGTCTCTCAGTGATAACTAAAAGCTGAATTTTGAACACCATCACTTGCATAATTGAAAACTGATAAAGTATGGAACAAGAATTATTCAAAATTTTAAAAGTGGTCAACTAACATCCCGTTATAGCATAAAGTGTTTGTTTACTGTTGACATCAAAGATATATAACTGATGCTTTTGAAATGTTTTCTGCAGGTAGGGCACCAAATAATTGTTAGCTATGCAGAATGCATAGGGGTGCCATTATTCAGAAGGAGAATACGAGGATCCACTAGGTAAGTCCCTCAGGTGTGGAACTATCCATGAATGGGGGACTAATTTTTGTTAACCATGGTTACACGTTCTGAATTTGATTTTCCTCCTTAAGAGTTGCCTCTTTTGTATTGCATTAGTGCCTTGCATTTGTAGCATGTCTCATCTACATAATGCACACGCAAACTCATATTCATGCATAATGATAAGTCTATACGTGGCTTGCAGTAACTCTACTGAAACTTTCAAGGGAATTTGTTTACAAATAACAATCTTTCCTACTAAACCTGACAAGAACTTGTTTAAAAAGCTGAGATTATTATCTAAAATTTTTGTTTGAATTGGATCACAACATTGTTTTCATTGTTTTTTCCTCTTTCCAATGGTTTTTGTAATTCTATAGGCATCAGAATCTTAGTTACAGAATGACTCCAGGTGATGAGGTGGAAGATATGTTTATTCTTTTAAATGAAGTGAAAAGACAGATACCATCTGTCACAGCAGTGTCTTCGGGTGCTATTGCATCAGACTATCAGAGGCTACGGGTCGAGAGTGTCTGTTCAAGGTTAGGGCTTGTTTCTCTGGCATATTTATGGAAACAAGATCAATCATTGCTCCTTCAGGAAATGGTAAATTGTTCTCTAGTAATGTGAATAATGGCTTGTTAGATCTGAAACTCTTCTATTTCTTTTTTTTTTTAAGTAGGGATGAAATATTTTTCTTTTCTTATTTTTTTTTCTTGTCCCTTGTAGATAACAAATGGGATTGTGGCAATTATAGTAAAGGTATGATTTTTCATACTTCTTAAAATAAACCCACCTTTATTTGTTTTGCATTCATCTGCTTTCATTGTTTTTCATTCATCTGCTTTCATATTGATGTACGTGGTTCCTATTTCTCTTTCAAACATGTACCATCAACTTTTGTTTCGCAACCAGCAATCGTAGGAATGAAAACAAAAATATGACACCGATTATCCTTTCATCGCCACTCTTTGAATGAGTTTAATTCTGATGCATTTGATGTCACAGGTTGCAGCCTTGGGCTTAGACCCTGCAAAGCATTTGGGCAAAGAAGTAGCATTTCTGCAGCCCTATCTACATAAGTTGAATGAGTACGTCAGTGCTTATTTGTTCTGTCTTTTCATTTTTTATGCGAGTGCTTATTTGTTGGATAATTTCATTTCTCGTTAAAAAGAATGTGCTGTATATCCTATATCATTAATATTTGAAGAAACTGAGTATTTCTTCATTCTGGTGACAGGCTATACGGCATTAATGTATGTGGTGAAGGAGGGGAATATGAAACTCTGACGCTGGACTGCCCACTTTTTGTTGTGAGTCTGTTGCATGGATACTTTTCTAGGACAAGTTTCTTAATTATTGAAACCAATGGCTATCTTATCATTTCACTTTGGCAGAAGTAAATAATCTCTGTTTTTCAATGAAGAGAAATTCCTGTTTTGGTGTTATAGTATGTTGCTTAATTTTATGCTCTTCTAGATTTATGTGTCTCTCATTCTATTATCCTCACGGTGTTCTACTTCATGGTAGTACTGTGTTTTCTACTGTTTTCATGCTGTACTAGGTTTAACATTCATGGTAGTACTATGATTGATTAAACAACATTCATTGGCAGTTTTCAGTTGCGATTGTTATGTCAGTCATGTGATATTTAGAATTTTCAGAATGCTCGAATTCTGCTCGATGAGTTTCAAGTTGTACGACACTCTTCAGATCCTGTAGCTCCTGTGGGAATCCTTCATCCCCTGAAATTTCATTTGGAAAACAAGAAAAACTCCAAATCATTAAGTGGTGGTGACAAAATTTGTGATCTGTCTGTGGAGAAAACCGTTTTTGTAGTTGAGGTGGAAGAAGATTGCCAACAAACATGTGAAGCTATTTGTCAACCTCTTCTTGGAGTCAATGATCTAGTTGAATCTACAAAACATAGACTCCATGTATCAAAAACCAAGAAGGATAACGTGTTTTCCATTTGCTGCTGGTTGCAAGATTCATGTGAATCTTCAGCGGGTAACTATTAGAATAATGATGCATTGTATTGCTCATTCCCTTCAACTATATCCTTCAAACTCATATTTAGGTTCTGCTTTTCCTCCTGATAACTTACAATTATGAAGAACTTTGGATCATTTTTTATTGGCAGGTGTACAAGAAGATCTGAAAACTGTTCTTAGCGAAATTGAATCACAGTTTGTGAGTCATGGCATTGGCTGGGAGCACGTCTTATATATCCATCTCTATATTTCTGATATGAATGATTTTGCAGCTGCAAATGAGACATATACAAAATTTATTACTCAGGAGAAGTGTCCATTTGGTGTTCCATCTCGTAGTACAATCGAACTTCCTTTACTGGAGGCAGGTTTAGGGAGAGCATATGTCGAAGTCTTAGTGGCTAATGACCAAAGCAAAAGAGTTCTGCATGTACAAAGCATTTCCTGCTGGGCTCCTAGTTGCATTGGGCCCTATAGTCAGGTATATTTACTTGTGAGATCTCATTTGTCACCATTTAATTCTCAAGTGTCAGTTTCTTATTCCTAATTTCATGCATAAAAATGGAATTAGGTAAGTCTTCTGGGACCCATTGGTGCATCTATGATTGCCATGTCATCCACCACAACTGCAACTAATCATATCCTCTTTATACTCGGGCATTGCCAGAATCACCACCACTATAATGCTTCACTACTGCTGACACTACATTAGATAATATTTATGACTGGTAAATGCCACATAAGAATGTTTACTTGTTCTTGTAGGAAGTTTTAATAGTACACTAGGTACAGTATGTCCAAACATGCATGAAACTTTATATCTTCAAAATTTTGGAGAAATAGATATTTGAGAAGTTAGTAAGGAATGTTTCTTGAGCCTAATCCAGGATTTATATCTCTTGTAGAGTTCTAGTAAAAATTGAACTCTGTTGTTAAATCATTCTTGAGAGTACGAAGTTCAACCGCATGATACATGTGACCTTACAACCCAACCAAGCGTGTATTTATAAAAAGTTTAATAAGAGGTGTTTCATTTAGGATACAAGGTTCTGGGCCAAGTTCTAAAGGCACCTTCTAAATTTTTTTCATTGTAAATGCTTTCCCTGCTTACCTAGAATTTTGCTATTTTTTGTGATAGTTAATTTTTTGTTGTGTTAAAAGACTTCCATATTGACATCTAGGATAGTACCCTATCATTGACTACTGTCAGTACACATAATTATGCTTCTGAATATCTGTTTTGTCTACCTCTAATTTTGATCAACTTTTGCTCAGGCAACCTTACATAAGGAAGTCCTTCACATGGCTGGGCAGCTGGGTCTTGACCCTCCGACAATGACTCTCTGCAATGGAGGCCCTGCAGCTGAGCTGGAACAAGCTTTAGAAAACACCGAAGCAGTAGCAAAGGGCTATAACTGTTCGATATCAACTTCTGCTATTCTCTTTGTAATATTCTGTTCAGAGCGTATTTCATCAGCTCAGAGACTTGAACTTCATGATAAGTTTAATTCTTTCCTGGAACAAATGAGATATTCCCATTCAGATGAAGGAAGCACATCAAAAGTGCTTGATCCCATTTTTCTCTATCTCCAAGTGCCAGATCTGCCAAAGAGGTATTCCACCTATGGTTTGCATTAGGCATTCCTTAGAGTGTCTTCCATAGAAACCGTCTGTATTATGAGTTTCATCAGCTGCATTGACGTTGTTGCATCTATGAAAATCTTGGATGGATATGTGATCTTTTCTTTGGGCGTTCTGGCAATTTCTGAATTGTTTTAGTTGGATTTTCATGTTATGACCTTTATCTCTTTTCTATCTCCATATTTGTTTTATTATTTCATTATTTTTTATTGGCTTTGCTACGGCAATCTCTTGCTGCTTATGTTCTATAGTAGCAGCTAGTAGCTACTACAGAATAAGCTTTTCATTATGAAGGGTTGTATTATAATTCTCAATAATAACTAATAATATGTAGAATGCACTAGAGATTTAACTGAATTTCACTGCCTTCCTTTTGCGATTATTTCAGAGCATTAGTAGAAGTAAAGTCCATTCTTTTTGTTGAGGAAAGCTTGGAAATGAAAGGTGAAAGCATCCAAGACCTACTTTGTACAAAGGAATCTGATAATTGGGGTTTCCAACCTGCAAACTGGCATGATTCTTGCATACAAAAATGCCTGGTTAATGGGAAAATATGTGCTGCCATTCTGTCTGTCTCAAGTGAAGTTGCTGCCAAGATTTGCTCTGAACCTTTAGATAATAATCAGAACTACACTAATCATGGAGATGTCCTCACTGAAGAGCAAATGCAGAAAATATCAAGATTTTGCTTGTATCTTCTTGACAAATGTTGAGGCAAAACGGCTTCTTTTGGGAAAACACAATGGTGAGTTTTCTGGCAAAAGCCTCATTTCCCAATTAAACTCCATCCATCCTTGTCTGTCAAAAACATGTTTCACCTGTGACAAATCTTCTAAGAGTTTCTCAAATGCTTTCTGAAATTAGCGAAAAACGATTTCTATTTACTGTTTTTTCACATCTTGCTATGTGAATTATCCAAAAATAAAAAGAAGTTTCTCTTAAAAACATTTCGAATCCCATATAACTTTATACATAAAAACATGTGTGGTGGTTAAAGTTATTTTGGTATTTTAAGTAAAACTGCTTTTGTTTGTACCTAAATATCAAACACCCCATTAACATAAATGTTTTCCTTGTAAATGTATGTAGAAATGGAAGCTAGAAAATTGTTTTCACGTATGAAACAGATGTGTGGTTTCTCTCATTTTCCATTGGCTTTTTTCTTTGGTGTAGAACCTGAGGCTCTACTTCCCCGCAACCCTTCACATCCCTATGGAGACATTATGGAACATATTTGCCGGCGCATTCAGCGAGCTTGCTGAAATGGGTAAAACTGTTAGAGTTGGTGGAGAAACTCTCTTCAATCTTGTTCCCGTTCTGGGTGCTGGTAAATCCGCTGCATCCATGGATGATATAATCACTTGCGAATTATTTGCCAGGAAATGACAAAGTCTCTCGGCGTCATGGGAATCGTATCATTTGGTATTTATTTCTTCCACTTCTTCACATAAATTAGAATTGAAACTTTTCATTCCATGTTACCATTCATAACCTAAAATAGAGGCTTTTTAATGTAAGTTAAAATTAGTGACCTCTTAAGCTAGCCAATGTTTAGAACAAATGAATTTTCATTTCATTTGTAAATATTCGTATTTATTTTAGTTGGGAGAGACTAAATAATCCCTTTTGAGATTATAAAAACTGAGCTCTTGATATTTTTGCTACATCTTTCTTTTTGGGTTAGGTATAATTTCACTTTTTTTTGTGATTCTTTTGCTGATATTAAATCATGTGATTTTATAATATAATTCAATACTTCATTATTTAATTTTTAATTATTTTATAGAATTGTTAGCTTTAGAGATTTTATGGGTGTATGAACTTAGAAAAAAACACAAGAAAAATAAGAAAAAACCTATATCGCATTTAAAGAGGGAACGGATTCGGACCGTCTACGCGTGCGAAAATAAATTCAGACTGTCCAATCGCGGGCACACAGATTGCCATTGTGGTCTCCCATGTGGCACCATATCAGCGTGTCTTGCCACGAAACGCGCTCCAGTTTGTCAGGGATATTGACTGGACGGTCTTAAGTGATACATTTTTCTTAAATTATGTTTTAACCCTCAATTTTTTATTTTTCTTTTAAAAATGCCCAATGAACCTAATTTTTCACTCATTTTTTCCGAACTTATCTTAGCACCAATTAAGTGATACACGTATACAAATCATAATATAACTCAAATAACGAATATATAATATAAACACAACCTGAATCAAACTCACTATATTTTATAAAAAAAAAACGTAATAATAGTTAAGTTATATGATCATCAATATATTATTACTTTTATTTGTTAAAATATTATTGCGTTTTATGTTTAAAGAAATTTGTCTCATTATTGGGGAATTCATTATTATCATGTCCCATAGAATCAAACTATCATTTCCTTTGAAATAATTTGGTCATACCAAAACATGAAGACAAGAAAAAAAAAAATGCTAAACTTTCAGTTCACCCAAATACTACTTTCAAGTTTCTTTTCCTTTCTTTTTTGTTTTCGCATTTTACCATTAAAAAAATTTACTCGAGTTTTAAAGAGTAACAGACACACCTCTAATTTTAATATGATAGTTTCTTGTTTGTTAATATTCATTTAAGATGGTACGAGAAATTTCTCAATTTTATCCAAGATTTTTTTTGTTTTTTATTTTAATTTTACTAATCAGTATATTTTCGAACTATTTCTTATACATGGGTATTAAATTCTTTTTTGACACGATTTAAAATACATTATCTATACTATAATTAGAACCACCTAATTTAAAAATTAAAAAAAGGGGTCGAATGATGAACTTAGAATATAAATTAATACCTTCTTATTGGAAATTTGAAAATTTCTTCGTAAATTAAAAATTCGATTCTGTGATTGATTTCAGCTTTCAAACAAGTCATGTTCCCATTAAACCCTTCTCACCTTCACGACAATTATTATGACACCTTAACATGCAACTTATTCATTACCCTTTGCCACAAAATAAGGTAAAGTAAATTCAAAATATGAATATCGATTCACTATTTGGGTAAAGAAGTCTTCTTATAATACGATTTTTTTTTTTTGAATACGTTTAATAAAATTACAATCTTTTTCAAACAAATCCTTATTGTAAAATTTATTGAAGAACTAAATTACCCAAATGAGTTGTCTCCCCTCTCAATTCTCTTTCCTACTCCCTAAAGAAAAGAAGGAAACATAAAGTATGATGGTGTTGAGTTGAGGGGACCATTTACATATACAA